GTGTGTGTGTGTGTGTTGTGTGTGTATATATATATATATATATATATATATACATATATGTATAAATCGTCTGTAGTATATTGTATTTGTACATAAACTCACGGATATGCGAATAAATTATGCGATCTTGTGTAATAGTATCGATTTTACCAGTACACATCATGCACTCTTGGCATAAGGCAGAATTACGCACTGGAATCACAATGCTATCACATAATATACGCATACCACGTTCAGATAGGGTTCCCGATCAACTTTCTCTGGCTTCTTCCTCGCTCCCCCTATGCTGACAGTCTTGTCCAAAGCGCCTGCAGCAAACATGGCTCTTAATTGATCGTCATCAGCATTGTCTATATTTATTTCGGCTTCGGCCATGGCGTTCTCTTCGTCGCTGTCCACTTCAAGATCATCTTGTTCTACTTCTGCATCTTCGTTTCCTTCCCCTAAACCCAACATCTCCGATATGGATCCCTCTGAATCACTGCCGCTATCTTGTTCTTGCATCTCTGCAACTTTACTTGAAACCATACTTCGTAATATAACTCAATAATACACTGCGATTGAAATGCCTAACGATAAGTATAGCGAGTTTAAAGATGGCCTAGCGATAAGTTCAATGCTCCACACGTGTGTAAAAATATAGCTAGATATCAGTTTTTTAAAACAAAAATACTTTTTGCTAATGTGATAAAGGCATAAAGCCCAGACAGCCCCCCCTCCCCAGAACAAAGAGCACGTGCGGGATTACACAGACATTTTCTTTTTAGGGTTGTAAGGTTTTTTTTCACTTTTAGGGTTGTAAGGTTTTTTTTTGACTTTTTAGGGTTGTCGCACAAATTTATAATACATGTAGCCTCCGACGTCAGATTAGGTGCCTATAAACATACTGGCATGACCCTCTGGAGGACGAGACAGAGGACCAAGTGCTAGGGCGATATCATAATCTGTGTCTCCAGAGGGTCGTGTTAGTAACGTCCCACGAGTAAGAGGGTATGGAGTGGTCGATGGTGGTACTGATACACACAGCGGAGAAGCTCCAATTTGACCCGTGGCCTTACAGCTTCCATTGGTGGAGAGACTCCTACGCCGATTTAATGCTTCATAAATAAAAATCGAAACTAGGATAATTATCCTGCCAGGAAGTATAGTTAGTTCTTTAAATAGAGTACGCGTGGTTCTCTCCCCTTGTCGGTCTAAATATACTCCGTATACACCTCATTACGTCATATATTGGGGCGTGTACATTGTAAGCATCGCGACTTTTAGTGCAAATCTATCGCCTATTGTTGTTTAATTTAGAAGGCTATACTATTGTATGTATTAAAAGTTTATCGCACATAGTTGTATGGTGCAAAATTCTATGCCAGCCCGATAGCTTGTAAGTATTCTTCTCACTGGCTATCAACTGCATCAAAAAGGTAGTCACCTATCAATAATCGGCTTGAAATAGTATCAAACCTGAGATAGGCATAGTATCGTAAGTACTTAGTCCAACTATGGAGCTATGGACAGAAAGCCACCATCCATATTATATTGAATGCAATGTCAATATTGGATTTCCAAGGGAACTCTTCAAGGGGGTCATGGTCCAATATCATTCTCTCGAACACTAGGGTTGGCTATGCGGTCGCATTCACAATCCTGTCACTACAGTTGTACATACGAGATCGGATGCCATTCAAGATTGTATATCTTGCATACTTTATCATAGCAATTGGCCATGCAGCAGATACTCTCGATCACCATCCAATAGCGCATAAACACTATTAAATATTTTTGTGACCGTTGTATACACCAGAAGCGTCCCAAATTGCGAATGTTGCCTTTAATAGTACGTATCGCATTTGTGTACTGCACCGATTTTCGCAAATTGGATGAGTTCTGAATCAAACGACGGAGTGAGTTCTAATCATGCGATAACATATTTGATTCTTGGATGAGCTGTATGTATATGCATTGTCTTGCCGCACTGAATGTATCGTATGTTGATGGCTTGTCTGCATGTAACTGTCGTACTGCACTAGGGCGTTTATTTTGTATACAGAAGTGTGGAAGTGTGATATTATCAAGTGTCTGACAGTGTAATATAGATATTGCCCATAGAATATGAAAGTGTGAAGGTATGACATATGAAAGTGTATGCGTGATAATATATCAAAAGTGTATCTAAAACTTTCAACAACGGTACGTGATCTTTATTAAATATCATCGATCAGCTCATTTTCCTTTTTTTTATTAGGATAAGTACCACCAATCAAATTAATCAACTTTCTCATACAAAGTATGTTTATTCATTATTGTGTGTGTTTAGAATATGTATGTTTAGTATATATCATCAACTTTTATGTAAAGTACCATCCAGTATACACATGAATTCATGAAAACCACTTGCAATTATGTCGCTCTCGGCGATTGATTGCCAGCGATATTGTCTCTACGAACACAATACCCACTTGAGTACGGATTTTATTCGGTATCAAGGGTGCAATTTTGAGTAATTTACAGTTTCAGAGCATCTGATTTTCAGTATCTTATATAATATACGAAAAGGATCTCTCATAATATTCCGACGACAATCTGATTTCTCACTGCCAGCTCACGAAGCTCTGTTGGCTATTTTGTATTTAGTTCTTGTCGACATACGTCTTCGGGAAGATACCAATCTGCAGAAAGGGATTATATGCAGTGTTTTGAGAATGAGAGATATGTATGCCAAACGCATGAAGGACGACAGATAGTCAGTACGAACCAACTAATCATGAACATAATACATCAATACATCCCCAAGAGATTAAATTGACTTGGAACACACACATATAAACACCCATTCGCGAGAATTAAATGGCAAGTAAGATATCTTGAATTGAAAAGAGCGAACGCAAAGACACTCACCTGCCCATTAAGTGTGCCTCTGTACCAGTTATCATCAACCTCTTCGAGAATCGTAATTTTATCATTGTAATGGAAGGTCAACTCTTGGTCGTTTTCTGCTTCGAAATCATATAGTGCACTGACAACACGTCCCTCCTTTGGCTCTGTGGGTGCCTTCAGCTTCATAGAGGGCTTTCGCGACTGTCAGTGCAGGAAAAATGATGTTACTTTCCTTGAAAATTACGTTCCCCGGATGCATTGATTTAAACAACACCACGCGAGAAACCTCCATTTGATTTATAAATATTACAAGATTATGGTCTAATTGTAAATGCACTTGATGCACACATCTGACATCGACTCCATGTATACACACTCACTGTGTTACACATTAGGTCACACGGATATTATCACATTCCCATTTAACTCGGGAGACGAAATTTATACGCAACATAATATATACGGGAGACTCTATTCATCACCTTCCGTCAATACATGTATCCTCTACTGTACCAGCTGACCAATATACTGGCCCGTAGGAGAATGCATGAGAAGTCTTGATCTACAAATGGTTATTCCATATTCAACCCACCATTCACAAGTCCAACATACTTTCAGTCCAATGACTGCTCAGTCATGAGCCAAATCCAACTACACAATCCTAACCTAAAATCCGCCCCGCTAAACAAGAACTCCGAATCAATGTGCCCCATGGTAGAGCAGTTTAAAACATACCGGGGGGATCGCCTTGACAGTGAAAGCCTCTACCTCAGGCCATGACTCGAGCACACCCTGGTTTTCTGTCACCACGTCGTGGAATGGAGAACTCGACAGAAGTGTATTCTGTGTCTGTAGGTAAGCAACTAGCACCTTCTCAAACAAGGGCTCCTTCATGTCACGCGTTCGGATAAGATCGTTCTTGACATCTTCATGGATGCTCTCATATTCTTCCGTCTTTGCCTCAACGTTCTTCTCCGCACGATAGATCTGTCCCGTTCATAGAATATAAGCAGATACAATTGAACGACTACATGCGTGGGTACCAACAAAATATCAAATACCGACCGAGTAAACCCAACCCATCGAAATAATTGACCATGCGAAAGTCTTTGGGCAAGTATGCGCCTATTTAATTCAGATTCTTCTCGTGCATCAGCAGCCGAGAGCGGATACAATGCAATACGAATATTACCATAGCCAACCCGGATATGGCATACTAATTTTGACAACGGCCGGCATGCATTTGAGAAAAGAATCAAATACGCGCAGACGAACACCTATTGTAGCACCAACCCAGACACACCTTATCCTTGTTGCTAGAACCTTTCGACTTCAGCTCCTCTGATTTGTGTGTGTAGTAGTCCATATCCTTTCTGACGTCGGCTCTGCGATCGATTTTCGTTTTAACTGTCTGGCATAGCTTCACATACCAGTCAATGTACTCCACTGCTTTGCTGAAATAACCTGCCATTTGTGCCTGCATAATATAAAGTATCCGTTAGATCTGGATAGCAGGGTAAACAAATGGAAACAACAATCAAATATGCAATGAATACTACATACATCGAGACTTATGTACATATATACGATCATCGAACATATACTTAATTGTGTGCAATAACAATTATAGATACGACATCATAGCGACAACTAATGCGGACCAGTCTTATATATGCACTCAAGGATGATAATAATAATTGTCTTCCGACAGATGAGAATATGGAATACTGATATAAATAATATATATATACGTAAACATATATACATATATGCATATATAGATATATCCATATATATATCCTAATATATATCCTAATATAAATCCATATATATATATATATATATATAATACACACACATATATATATATATGTATATGTATATATATACATGTATATATGTATATATATATATGTGTGTGTGTTTGTGTGTATGTGTGTGTTTATATATGTGTGTGCGTTTGTATATATATGTCTGCTTGTATATATTTATATAGGTGTGTTTGTATACATATATACATATATATATACATACATATATATATATGTTTATCTATATATACATAAATGCATATATACATACATACATACATACATACATACATACATAAATATACATATATATATGTATATGTATATATATATATGTGTGTGTGTGTGTGTATAAATATATATATATATATATGTTTGTATATATATATATGTATATATATATATAATAACATGCTTGTATATAT